CCTAAATGTCAAGCGGGGGATCTCATGATGCCCACAGCGCCGAGTTATGCAGCGAGGTTGACGTTCAGTCAGCTATGGAAACTCTCAGTTCATGCTCTAGCTGACATGCGCAGCCACTGTTTCTAGGAGAGATGCCTCTCTTTTGGCTTCGGTGGGGCATAACAGCTACTCTGCCTGCTGAGCGATGTCGAGGATAACAATCGCGTCGCTGATAGTGCAGGCCGTTGTCACGGACCGGAAGTCTACACTCGTGATGGTGAGGTCGGCTTAGCGATATCCGAGCTGCAGCCGATTTCATGGCCTAGGTCAGCGTCTTGCCTCCCGAGTACGGCGTGCAGGACCTGCTTCAGCAGGGGTTTTAACGGTTCGTGGCGTGTGGTACACGAGCTGATAGCGCCGCCGGACAGCGGTCGGATACCAAATAGCATTCGCAGCGCATAGAGCTGCACGATGTTGACATGTGAAGTACGTGGAGATAGTGCGAAGTCTTCCGCGTAGCCGTTCGCGAACGCCGCCTCCAGACCTGGGACAGGTGACCAGCGTATAACCACTTCTGCGCGCAGGTAGCTATCCTCGAGTGCACTTGTCTTGCTTTCTCCTTACTTCTCAGCGAGCGTGTATTGGATATTGGCTATCAAAGCCGGCGTATTCACATGGGTCACAGCATTGTGCGGCGGAGTCCACACGTACCACCATCGTCGCCGTACTCGTCATCAAGACCTGTGGATACCACCGAATACGTAGTAGGTGCAAGTCGCATCAACCTTAGTAGGACGGTCCTCCAAGCGCTCGGATCGAGGTACACCCGCCGTGCGGCCATGGTGAAGTCGGAGTGCACCCCCATCGTGAAAATACGTTAAAACCGGGATTCCGCGGAGTCTGCATCGCTAACAATGTCCCGGAGTGTAAAATTTTCTTTGTGGTAGCGCGATACTAGTATTCCTGTAGAGTGTTGGTGTAAGAATTCTCCCACAATGCAGGAAAAATGAAGCTGCAACCCACCAGTTTACATTTTGAACAACGATGACTCTCTCGGACAACTGGCGAGGCGTCAAGTGGCGAGAGACGGGTGCCAGTCTGCTAGAACCAGATCCTCCGGGGCTAAGGCCACTGCAGCAGCTGTCATGCACAGATCGCAGAGTGAGATGAGGAAAATGCGTTAAATTGGGGGAGCGTGGTGGAAGACGGCCCAGCAGGTCGTCATTACGACGATTCTCGGGCCATATGGCTAATTTAGCTAAGCCAATAGCATAATTTTGCCGTCCAGGCAACAGCGACACCAGCAACGAATGCTCGCGACGCGTCCAAGAACTCGTACGCGTCATAGCAGTACCCCCGCACTTCGCCGTCTTGACATGAGAACTTCCAAGCATCTTCGGTGTGCTGGAGAGAATAAAGCGGAAATGATGAATCTTTTGCAGACGTTTGAGCATGATCTGCGCTTGGGAAGAGGACATCTAGTGACTGCTGTTCCAAGAACGATAGACACCCCCGACAAATTTTCAGAACTCGGAGTTCGAAAACTCCGCAGGCACTAGAGCGAGAGAAGGACGTCACCTAAGATACCTTGACCCGCCCGACGCTCTCCGCCTGCA